GGGGGGGGGGGGTGGTTATGGAAAGAATTAGCATAGCCCTAGGAAGCAGAGACCTGGATTTGAGGAAGCCTTAGCGTCCTCACCAATAAAATGGGACTAATCACTGTGATCAGCCAGGTAAGTTACTGGGAGGTTGCAAGATGGTGTAAAGGACTTTCTAAATGGCAGGTCCCTCCCTCCCTTGCCCCCTAAAAGAACTGATTCCGTAGACAAACATCCCGTCCCGTCCCGTCCTGTCCCATCCCATCCCATCCCATCCCATTCTCGTTTGAAACCCCAGGGTGGTTTCTTGGAGACCTTGAGTGGCCCCTCCTAGACTCCAAGCTGATCCACTCTCCCATTCTGGTCCCAGGAGACAAGATCCCTGGCTCAGCTGTGCTGATATTTGACGTCCACATCATCGACTTCCACAACCCTGCGGATCCAGTGGAAATCAAGACACTGTCTCGGCCCCCTGAGACCTGCAACGAGACCACCAAGCCTGGGGACTTTGTCCGCTACCACTACAACTGCTCTCTGCTGGATGGCACCAGGCTCTTCTCCTCGTGGGTCTGGGGCAGGGCCAGGGCTGGGCAGGTGGGTGGGCCCAGGTGAGGGGAGTCCTCCTCATAGCACCCCCTTCTCTATAAGTTCCCATCTATGGAAAGCATTAGAGGCAGAAAGGGGAAGAAGGTAAAGCTAGCAGTAGGGGAGCTGAGCCCTCGAGGCCACACTTTAGGGTCAATGGCAAGATGAGAAGGGTGTCATCTCTGAGCCATTGGACCCTGCACTCTGTGGTGTGGGGTGGGCACCAATGGGATGTGAACTGCTGTGGGACAAGGAAGGGCACTGACCTGGAAATCTGCTCTTCCCCCAGGCATGACTACGGGGCCCCCCAGGAGGCAACCCTGGGGGCCAACAAGGTGATCGAAGGCCTGGACACAGGCCTGCAGGGCATGTGTGTGGGAGAGAGGCGGCAGCTCGTGGTCCCCCCGCACCTGGCACATGGAGAGAGTGGGGGTGAGGAGCAGAGACTGGTCTGATCCACCCCCTTGGCCCCTTTCGGATGGTTCTATAAACATCCCATGTCCCACTCTCGAGCCCCCAAGAGGGGTAGCTGAGACCTGCGAGCTGGGGAACACACTGGGCAGGCTGCAATGCCAGGCCCAGACCCTGGTCTGATTAGGACTCTTTCCTTCTCTTCTCCCTCCCTCCAGCCCGAGGGGTTCCTGGCAGTGCTGTGCTGCTGTTTGAGGTGGAGCTGGTATCCCGGGAGGAGGGGCTGCCAGAAGGCTACCTGTTTGTGTGGCACCAGGACCCTCCCGCCAACCTGTTTGAAGACCTGGACCTCAACAAAGATGGCGAGGTCCCCCCAGAGGAGGTGGGTGAGGAGTTCAATCCTTATAACCATTCCTGCACTCTCACCTTGCATGGTGGCACCTAGCAAGAACATGGTACATGTTCCACCATCCTGTCTGCGCTCATGTTCCTGCCCCTCTGCTGGGTCCCTGTGCCTTAGGTTCCTTTTCCCTGCCTTCTCTCCTGGCACCCATGAGCCCTGGCCCTGCTCAGGATCCCAGCACCAGTTCCTCTCCTCTCAGTCTTCACTGGCTGGCCTCCTCTGGTCCACCCAAAGCTGCTTGGGCAAGACCCTCACGCCCACCCTCCCCCGGCCCTCTTCTTCCCCAGTTCTCCACCTTCATCAAGGCTCAAGTCAGTGAGGGCAAAGGACGCCTCATGCCAGGGCAGGACTCAGAGAAAACCATAGGGGACATGTTCCAGAACCAGGACCGCAACCAGGATGGCAAAATCACCATCGAGGAGCTCAAGCTGAAGTCTGACGAGGACCAGGAGCGGGTTCATGAGGAGCTCTGAGAGCACAGCTTGGGCCTGGGCCCAACACCAACGCCCACTTCTGGGGGACAGTGGGCACTGGGGTTGACTTCCAACAGTCACCCACCCCTCTGCTGGGATGAGGTCTGAGCGCATCTAAAAAGTGGTCAGAGGAGATAACTCTGGTCTTCTCACCAACCCAAGTGTAAAATCCACAGCACAGACCTCTACTTGGTTTTTCTCTTCCAACCCCACACTGCTTCCATACAAGTTTGGGAGTTACAAAGGCAATCAGGGGATTGATGGAGTCTGGGGTTGGATGGGGCCATTGCTGGCCCCTCACCCACGCCTCCACATCACTGCTGAGCATGGCCAAGCTCATCATTTCTTTATTTCCCCAAACTTCCCTGTTTGTACTTTTCCTCACCATCCCCAATCTTGCCCCACTTCCTAATGTCAGCTCCTAGGACCATGGGCCAGGGCTGGAAGAACCCCTCCTTCCTCCCACAGCTCTGGCTGGCTCCAAAGAAAGGGGGCAGCTCCAGGAGAGCAGTCCTACCACACCTATACCCCACTCACCCGTCCTGTGCCCCCTTGCTGCTGGGGTACCCTCAGGGAACTGCAGGTCAGGGCTGGGTTTTGTGTCACCTTTCATCCCTAAAGAAGGCTGCCTTTTCTAAGGGACTGGGGAGGAAGAAAGTAAAAGGGCAGGGGTGAGGAAACCTACTTAGATGGGTCATAGAGCTATGAAATGAAATCCTTGGTTTGGAGCTGAGATAAACTTGGAAGGGCTCACTGGGGACTGAGGGGTGAAGGGAGTGGGCAGAGCTCTGCACACTCAAGGCTACACTAGTGTCAGATCTCTTTCTCCTTTGTGACAAATAAAAGACTAAACCAGAGGCCCCAGGAAGTGGTCTTTCATTCGGGGGAGGCCCTTAGACCCAAAGATTGAGAAGAAAGGGTAACAAAGCAGGATGTCTCCATACCTGTGAGCTCAAGACAGGTCCCTAGGTCTTGGTCTCCTCCTGGAGCTTCCTGCCTCCCTGAGATCCAACCCAGGGGCCCTAGTCCTGGAAAGAGAGCCCTGGTCTGCCAGAGGGAATAGAGGAGTGGGGCCTACAGGGGAGGTGCGGAGAGATGATCCTTGTCTCCTAATTGTCTCAAGTGAATAGGAAGATGAGGTCTCTGACCTCAAACACAACATGCAAAGCTCAAAGATTAAATCACATAGGTCAGATTCCACTTTCACATGGATCATTTTCAATACTACAATCTTCCCACTTCTCCTTCCTCCTGGCTGCAGGCCATCACCACCTGCCCGATGTTCCTTCTTGACAGGAAAGATAAAGAGTTCAAATCCCGGGTGTCTTGGGAGAGGAATTGGCTTCAGCCACCAGTCAGGCCATCTGCCTTCACCTGCCCTGCTGGACTCTGGCCAGTACAATGGAGATGACCCAAAGCATTTGAAGACATGGGTTGGAAGAGGTGATTGAGAGAGAAAATGACGGAACTGGTGACTGAATTGTCCCCAAAAGCACTGGTTTTTTGCCCAGGATACCCTGAGAGATGTGACCTCTCCCCATGGCCACTTCTTGTCCTAAAGCATCCCAGAGGCACCTCAGGGTCTGACAGTGGCTACGGGCCCAGCCTTAGTTGGTAATCACTCCTCCCCAAAACTTAACAGAGCGGCCCATGTGCAGGCAGCATGATGCAGGCCTGGCTTTGGTCAGAAATACCCTAACCTAGCTCTAGCTCCTAGCTGCGGGGTTTGGGTGAGTTACTGGTCTTTTCTGGGCCACCTATAAACTGGAACTACCTGCAGGGTCACTGTGAGGATTAAATGGCACACATATAGGGACCTCAGCGGGATTCAATCCATAGTCCCAAGACTTTTCCCTTCTGATCTACAGATAAACATGTTTCCAATAGCCAGGCATCTTTGGGAAGGGTGAGGGACTGAATTTCTCTGAGGACAAGCTAAGAAAACACCAGGTAAAGTGGCTGGTCTACAGTTTTTCTTCAAAAGGTACCCTAGAGAGGTTTCAGCTAGTTATTCACCAAGTCAACAGGGAGGGGAGAAGGGGGAAAACTGCCCAATAGAACAAGACAACAGAGCACAAACCACTTCTAGTATACTTGGCCACAGAGCGACTTCTCCCTTCAGGTCCCTGGTCCCAACCCTCCTTAAGTCACCCATTTTAGTGGCCCTGGACCCACAAGAGGAGGAAGGACTGGAATCAAGGGCACCAGGGAAAATCAACACCCAAATGGATCCCTTTGGGGACCTCTAAAGGGGCTCTGCAGACAGGGTTGGCCAGACTCAATTGAAGTTTATCAAGTTTAACAGCTGCATCAGAATAAAGTCAAACCATTCCAGGTCAGAAACACCCTTCCAAGCCTGCCTACCCACCCTGATCCCTACAGACAAATTTAGGCTGTGCTCAGAGGGTCTTCTGGGCTAATTCAGTGGTTTTCAAATTGTATTCCATGGAGCCCTAGTGGCTTCTTGAAGATTCCTGCACCTCCAGGACCAAAAGGTACAGGCTTTAACCCCCCAACCTCCAAATCAGAACAGCTCTGGGTTTTCCTTTTTTATTTTGATCTGCTTCACACAGTCGATTTGTTTGAAGAACAGCTTTCCATGTTAAACATTTTTGAAAAGAAGAATCCTGGACCAAATGATCCCCAGAATGCAAACACCCCACAGGTCCGATTCATCTGGACTGGCTTTTGCTGCCTCCCTCAGGCCTTGGAGAACTCAAACAGAATGTGCCAGGGAAAGGAGGAGGGGAGGGCGAGGACCCAGTTGCTTGGGAATGGCCTGGACTATCTGTACACACCAGGTTCACAACAGAGCAGCCTCCCAGGGAGGCTCCCCTCCCTGCCACGGCCGGCTGAGACCGGCCCTGCGCCTGCGCACTCACGAGCCCTGCATCTCCACCCAGTCCCCCTGGTGCAGGATGTGCTGCAGCAGCCTGTTGACCACCTCCAGCGTCTCGTCCTTCTCCAGCACAATGTCATATGAGTCCATGTAGTGCTCCCGCTGCTCCTCCACCTGGCCCGGGGGAGGGGTGACAGAGAGGCCCTGAAATGCCCTGCCCTCTGCCCACTGCCTCTGCCTCTCAATCACCTGGGGCTAGGGGAGGAGAGCACTCAAGCCAAATGCTCCTAGAGGAGTTCAAGGTCACAGGGCCTGCCTTTTGGAGACACAGATGGCAATGGGCAGGCATAGGCTGCCACAATAAACTCCGAGATTAATGTCAAAAGGACAGTAACAAGGATTAAAATGTAAGAACTAGATGTTATCTCTATCTGGATTGAATTTCCACAGGCTCAAGCATTCTGGGGGACTTAGGCACGTGCTGGCTGAGGGTAAGGACTAGTGGCCTTCCAGCCTGATACCATACTGTAGCCCTTTATGACCACACTGTTTTCACCCCTGTCGGCCTCTTGTCTGTTCTCTAACTTGGAAACCCACATCCTAAAACACTGACACCTCCCATCTCAATCATGCCTTACAGGTATGATTTAGGAGGACTGGTAATCAGCCCCGCCACTTCCTAAACTATGTCACCTTGGGCAAGTTACTTAACCTCCTCGCCTGTTTCCTTATCTGTAAAGTGGCATAACAGTCACTACCTCAAAGGTTGTTGTAAGGATTAAATGGGTTCATGTCCCTGGTGTATGGTGAGCACTCAGCAAGCAGGGGCTCCAATGAAATGCCTGGCATTACTCTGTCTCTGAACTCATTCATCACTGGGTATCTCTTATTTTCCTGTGAGAATATGGAATACTGTCTTGAAGAATATGGATTGAGTCTTACGTCTGTACCTCTAATACTTAATACAGTGTCTAGTTTTAAAACACTCAGAAGGTGTTTGACAAGCATTTGTTAACAGAAACTGAAGGAGAAGCAAGCTCTGAAGGAGGAAGCCCTGGACCCCTACCTACCTTGTCATTTAGGAAGCCAATCTTGAGAATGTTCTCCACCCCTGGAACCCCATCGGCCATAGTGAGGTCCCCCATGGTGTCTCCCAGCAGGAGGATGTTGGTTTTGCCCTGAAGCTGTTGGAAGTAACTGGAATTCTCGCACACGGAGCTGTTCTTGTTGTATGTGTGTATGAGCTGGCCCTTGAATCCCTGTAGGAAACCCTAAATGACCAAGAAAAGAGACAGACAGAAGGGCTACAGGGACCCGTCCAGTGCCAGTGTACCACTGTCTCTGTCACAGAGGAAAGGAAATCCTGAAAGCCATAGAAAACACCAAAACAATGTAGAGCTTGTGGGCCAGACTTAGCCTATTTTTTTTTTTTCCGACTTAGCCTATTTTTGTAAATCAAGTTTTACTGGCACACCGCTGTGCCTATTTGTTTACATCTTGTCTATGGTTGCTTTTCCACATAGCAGAGCAGAGTAGTTGCTATAGAGGTCATACAGCCCATAAAGCTGAAGATACTTGGCTAAAGTTTATAACCCCTGGTTTAAACTTTTAAACTAACAGAAGCCATCAAATATAGTTGGTCACCTACCCTGGTGGAAGCATGAAGCCTGTGATACAAGCACTGTTCAGGCTACATGTAAGCTAAGCCTCAGCTGGGGGCCACGTCCTAACCATATTTCAAAGGCATGGAAATTCTCGCCACTGGTTTTAAGGGAAAAAAGTTAGAACGTGGGTGAGTCGGGGCAACTAGCCTCTGGCTCTAGAAAAACAAGTCAAAGTCCAAGACCTTGAGTACCTAGGATGGCACATGACCCATGACAGTGACTTGGGGCCTGGTTAACCCCTAAACTAGGTCCCCCATGGCAGAGAAAGCTGACTGTTGGCCAAACACCAAAGAGCAGGTCCTTCAAAAGTAACTGTCTTTAGCTCGCATAAATGAATAAATAAATGCCTGAGGACACAGAAGCCAGCACGTCTTCCACCCCCTTTCCTCCCCAGGTCAGAGTTAATGTTTAGGGTGAAGTTCCCTGGATGGTAGCTCCCACCCCTTGTCTATTCCCAGTCCCAAAGAGATTTGGCTCACATTTTCATCAAAATCCATGTAGTTAGACACAATGTGGATGTTGGGGTGAAACATTTTCACCTGTCGGATAATTTCTTCCAAGACATCACCAATGCCCGCAGAAAAGATGAAAAGGGGGATGTTGTTTTGGTAGAGGGTGTTGAAGAACACCTTGTATCCATCCCTGGAAAGAGATGAATGGATTCTGAAATTGCACTGCCTCGACTACTGTTCTTTATTTTCTACTTGGGTTATATATTTTTTAAAAAAACATTTTTAACTGAGGTATAAAATACATACAGTAAGTGGTTAATGTGTACCAATCTTAAGTGTTCAGCTCAATTAATATCGACATATGTACACACCCATGTAATTACCAATCAGATCAATGTTCCATCGTGTCTCGCCCAGTCAATGCCATCCTCCCCTATTTTTACTTCATATCACCACTGATTAGTTTTGCCTGTCCCTGAACTTCATATGAATGGACTCATACTTTGTTTGTTTTTTAAATACAGTTGACCCTTGAATAACACGAGGGTAAGGGGTGCTAACCCCCTGTGCAGTCGAAAATCCATGTGTAACTTTTGACTCCCCAAAAACTTAACTACAGTTGTCCCTCAGTATCTGCAGGGGAACTAGTTCCAGGGCCCCATGGATACCAAAATCCAAGGCTAAACAAGTCCCTTATATAAAATGGCATAGCCCTGGTTGCTGTGGCTTAGTTGGTGGGGCATCATCCCATGCACCAAAAGGTTGCTGGTTTGATTCCCAGTCAGGGCCCATGACAGGGCTGCAGGCTCAATCCCCAGTAGGGGGCATGCAGGAGGCAGCCAAGCGATGTTTCACTCTCATATCGATGTTTCACTCTCATATCGATGTTTCTATCTCTCTTACCCTTTCCCTTCCTCTCTAAAAATCAATTAAAAAATAAACTAAAATGGCATAGAACAATGCATACAGTTGGCCCTCCACATCTACTGACTCCTAATTGCAAGTCAAAAATACTGTTTTCAATCTGCAGTTAGTTGAATCCACAGATGCGAAACTTGGAAGGCCAACTATATATTTATTAGAAAATGACCCACGTATAAGTGAACCCACACATTCAAACTCATGCTGTTCAAGGGTCAACTGTAAAATATAACCAGGCAGCTATCCTGGAGCAAATTCATTGAGAACACCCCACCCCACCCCAGCACTTGCTGGGTCTGCACACGTCTCTACTCTCTTAGCTTTTCATGAGCTGGCCTCTCCCCAGTTAGGACAGATCCTTAAGGACAGACACCCATGCCAACTCCTTCCTCTATGTGCCCTCATCCCTCCTCCTCCAGTAAAGAACACTCTAGCACAGGCTGCTGTACTGTGAAGGCTGCCAGTGATCAATGGTCCCAGGCCAGCCAACTCCCATGTCGGGATAAAGAATGCCAGTCAACATGGAGACCCCAAAAGTCTTTCTATCATTAAGAAAAATGAGCTAGATGATGTTTGTTCCAGGGGATGAAGCCCTGCTCACACTCACTACATCCACTGCCAGCAGACTGCTTCCTAGGAAGCACCCAAGGGTAGAAAATCCTTCAGCCGTATCCAGAGAGGGAAAGCAAGAGCTTCCCCACTTCAAGTGCTCATGGAGCTAGGTCTCTTCCAGCAACGAAATCTTCTCCACTCCTTCCCAGCCTCTTTTAGTGAGCAAACCAGTTTCAAATGTTTTCCAGAGCAAGCAGCTTACCTAAGCATTGCATTGGACTCTTTGACCACCTGGGCTATCTGACACTTCTGAATCTTCTGCTTACACAGGAGATTGTGTGCTCTGGTCCACCTAGAAATAAACATCCCACAAACCCTGAATTCAAATCACGAAGTTAGTAAAGTGACCTTTCCCTTTTCAGGGCCAAGTCCCCTCTGGAAGTATTGACAATGGAGGGGGCCTCCTCCTTTTCCACAGAGCCATTACCTGGAGGACCCTGGCTGTCCTCAAAAAGAGGGTACACCCTGGCAAGTGTGGCTCAGTTGGTTGGAGTGTCGTCCTGTATACCTAAAGGTTGTGGGTTCGATTCCCAGTCAGGGCACATACCAAGGTTGCAGGTTCAATCCCCGGTCAGGGTATGTACAGAAGATAACCAACTGATGTTCTCTCTCACACTGATTTTTTTTTTCTCTCTCTCTCACACTGATTTTTTTTTTCTCTCTCTCTCCCCGTACCTTCCCCTCTCTCTAGAATCAGTAAGCATATCCTTGGGTGAGGATTAAAAAAACAAAAGAGGGTGAGAAAGCAACACACCTGAGAGACAAGAGGTGAGTGAGTTAACTGCTAAAGTCAAAGCTCTTCTGAATCCCTTCCTCTGTGACCCCACTCTGGAGAACTGGCACTCTGTCCAGTGATACTGGTTTCTATAGGAAGACATCTCCCCAGAGCACTTATTCCCCCACACCAAGGGGCTTCTAACTCATCCCAAAGATTCTTGGTGGGCCCCCACTCTGGCAGCAGTCACAAGTAGCTCCAGGTGTGTGTGGACAATTTGTTCTACTAGCTGGGCCTGTGGCATTCAGTTAAGCACCCAGGAAGGTAAGGGACTCTGTCATCTCATCAAAGCTCAGGAAAAATACCCTCCCTCCTAGACCGGACACTTTCACCACCACCACCATAACTTACCATTCTACCATATGAGGTAACTTCTCTTTGACAGTCCGGTGTGGGTCAATCTCAATTGGGTAATAGTGGTGAAAGAGTGCTTTCAGCTGGGGCATCCAAAGGAACAGGAAAGCCATTAGTCCCTCAAGTTTTCCCCAGCAAAGTCCTACTATTTAGCATGAGAAAAAAATCACCTAGAATACGAAACTTCATGTAAGGGAGAAACTGGATCTAAGAGCTAGTGGGGCACCCCTTTGCACTCACCCAGAAATAAGGTCTAAGAATCAACCATGTAAAGAGCTTTGCTATCAGATAAGAGGGTGGCCAGGATTTGTTATTAACTAGCTCAGTCATCAGGGCTTAACCAGTAAGAATGATTTAATGCTGTTTTCCAAAATGTGGTATACTCTCAGGTAAGAGACAAGTTAACTCCAGGGGATACATGGATAAACACTTTGTTAGTTGTGGATTCATTTTAATCTATGTTAGAAAAAAAACTAGCACATCAAACTCATGCTCTCACAAAGATTATTTCTTTTGTAAGTTAATCACATTCAGATCTTTTAAAAATATATTTAGTACAAACCATATATATATATGGCAAAAAAAAAAACACCCAAAATCACAAAAGTGGAACTAGAAAAAACTGTAGTTTGGGACACAGCATGTTAGTGGATGACTCCATCACAATGTCAACATTGAGTGAACTACTGCATGAGCATCTATAGGTGCCTCCTCTGTCTTAGGTTCTCTTCCACATGCCAACACTTGCCACCTTCTAGAGAGTGATCATATGTTCCACAGGGCCAGTCAGTAACAGTGCCCAATACAAATGGGAATTGACTGGGTATAAAATTTTAACATATGCATGGTCTCAGACTATTATGAGATCAAATGGAGTCCCTGACCATGGGTCCAAAAAAGGGTTAAATGCAAAAATCACACATTGACCAAAGCAGAAAGCTCCTGAAATGTATTAAGGGTTTGCAATGTGTGTGGGTTTTGTTTTCGTATTTTTTGGGGGGATGAAAGAACATTTTTCTAAAAGTACAACAGAACTCAACAGAAGAATATAATTTTTTTTTCAATCCTCACCTGAGGATTTTTTTCCATTGCTTTTTAGAGAGAGTGGGAGAGTGAGGAACATGGATGTGAGAGAGACACACTGATTGGTTGCCTCCTTCACATGCCCCAACAGGGGCCAGGGATCGAGCCTGCAACCGAGGTACGTGCTCTTGGCCGAAATCGAACCTGGGACCCTTCAGTCTGTGGGCTGCTGCTCTAACCACTGAGAAAAACTGGCTAGGGCTACAATTCTTTTTAAAGAAGAAAAAGCCCTGGTCTGTGTGGCTCAGTTGGTTGACTGCCATCCCATGCACCAAGAAGTTGCCAGTTTGGTTCCCAGGTCGGGGCACATGCCTGGGTTGTGGGCTCGATCCCCAGTATGGGGCATAAAGGAGAAGGCAAATGGATGTCTCTTCCTCTCCCTCTAAAATCAATAAAAATATTAAAAATAAAAATAATAAAAAAGAAGAAAAAGATTTCATATATAAACTTTGCTTTATTAATTTTTTCAGGAGCCCGTCAACACCCAAAAACTTTTATCTGAGAGAAGGCAGTCAAACCTACTGTCTTATATGTGGATGCAGCTTCCTGGAAGCTGATAAATCAGGTATTCAAGGAACCAAAAAAAGTGACCTGCTAGCCCAGCTAGAGTGGCTCAGTTGATTGGGCATAATCCTGTGCATTGAAAGGTTGCCAGTTCTATTCCCAGTCAGGGCACATACCTGAGTTGTGAGTTCGATCTCTGGTCAGGGCACATACAGAAGGCAACCAATCGATGTTTCTCTCTCACACTGATGTATCTGTATCTCTCTCTCTCCCTCCATCTCTCCCTCCCTCCCTCTCTCCCTCTCTCTCTCTCCCCCCTTCCTCTCTCTAAGCATGTCCTCAGGTGAGGATTTAAAAAAAAAGTGACTTGCTAAAAGCTGTCAGTGGTGGAGCCAGAACCTACCTCAAGCTAAAAGTGGCAACCCAAGAGAGAGGTTTTAGAAATATAAGAACAATCCATAATCCACTGCCCATCTTTTTTTTTTTTAATGAACTTCAGATAACAATCAATAATTGTTAATTAACTTAAAAAATATATATGTTTCTATTGCTGGTTGGGCATGGCTCAGCGGTTGAGCATCAACCTAGGATCCAGGAGATCAAAATTCGATTCCAGGTCAGGGCACATGCCCGGGCTGTGGGCTTGGTCCCCAGTCCCAGGCTTGCAGGAGACAGCCGATCGCTGACAACTATCTCATTATTGATGTTTCTCTCTCTCTCTCTCCCCCTCTCCCTTCCTCTCTCTGAAATCAATAAAGACATATTAAAAATTAAATAAAAAAATGTTTCTATTAATTTTTTTTTTTAGAGAGAGAGAGGAAGGGAGAGGGAGAGAGTGATAAAAGAGAAACATCAATTTGCTGCCTCCTGCATGCCCCCTATTGGGGATTGGGCTGCAACCTGGGCAGGTGCCCTGACCGCAATCTAACCAGCGAAGTCTTGGTGCATGGAACGACATTCAACCAACTGAGCTATACCGGCCAGGCTCCACTGCCCTCTTAATACCAAGTAATCCTGACAGAGTATTGAAAGAGCTAACCAACATAACAAACTACTTAGTATTCAATTTAACGAGTTTCATAATGTAGTGGAACTAAATGATGGAGTTGGAAGAGCTAACCAATATGACAGACCAACAGACCACTTGGTATGTGATTTAGTGAATTTCATAACATAGGGGAACTAAATGATGTAGCTAGCTATTCAGCAGAGAGAGCTCAGCAACGTGCAGAGAAATGTGCAGTTAGCACAGCTCTGCCCTGGCAAAGAGGATCCTGACGGGAAGAACGTGGAACAAAGTAAAAAGAACTCCAAGGCTACAGAGGGATCACTTTACAATATTTGTATGTATCTTATGGAAATCGGAGTTATTGTACACTGGCATTAATTCAGATGTCTTTCTTGACACTGGTTGCCTTACCAAGAAAATCATTATCAAGGAAAGAACATAATGTAGTGGAAAGAGTTTGGGACAGAATCAGATCTATGGGAAAGTCAAGCTCTGCATCCTGCTGTGTAACCTTGGGTAAGTTGCTCAACCTTTCCAAACCTGTTTTCTCATCTGTTAGATGGACACAGTAATGGTTCTATTCATCTCTCGAAGTTGTGGGAGGGTTAAATAACAAACATTGAGGTCTTTTGTAAAGTCTATAGCTAGCAGTGAGCATAACGTCCATACTCTAACTATCAATTGAGACAGGCCAGTAAGCCAGGACAAGTGGAGTAGGGAACTGAGACAGATAGCTGAACAAACCGACAGAGCAATTTACAGCAGATACAGAAGGTCACCTCCCTAGAAATAACATGTTATTTTTCAGCTCCAGACCCAGAAAAGCAGCAAAGCCTGGTGGGCGACACCAGGACCAGCTGCAAAGACTAAGGACCCCCTTCCCTGACACTGACCGACCAATCAGTGGAGACGACGACCCTGAAGGAGCACACCTAGAAAACTGATGAATATTCTGCTGAAACCCTCCCCTGAGACCTCCCCTAAGATTCCTGCCTGCAAGAGAGAGATAAAAGGACCCAGCATTCGTGTTCTCCCTCCCAGGAGTCCCCAGGGAGAGCACACCCATGCCCTTCCCGCTGCCTTCTTTCCCCAGAGGCATGCATCTCCTAAATCCTAAGGGACCCCACGAGGATTTCAATCAGGGCAGCAATGGGCAGCAACATCATCCTGGGGAAACCCCCTGAACCTGTCCCCAAGGTCCCCTTTTCTCTGACTTCTTAGTGAGCCAAAACAGACCAGCCTAGGCTCATTTCCCCAGCCATTCCTTGTTTCACTGTCCCCAGCTTTAATAAACGTCCTCTAAAATTCACCTGGACTCATATTGTGAAATTTTTCCTGCACGAAGTCAAGAACCCACACACTACCTTACCGGCTGGCCAGGGGCAGACCCAACTCAGGGCCAGGTCCCCCTGCTGGTAACAATATGTCTTGACCAACAAGGAAAAGCTATCCAAGTGCATTAAAACTAGGTCCACCTGAGCAAAAGAAGAAACGTTTTTTTAAAAATGAATCTTCTAAGGTCTCTACCCTGGAATCTTTGGTCCTGACCAAGGGCCATACGAAGCAATATATGATAGAGACTCTGAGCAAAGAAGGGGGGTAACTCACCTCTTTCCGGCAGTCCTCGCTGATGATCTTACTGTTATCCAGAATATCTACAAAAACACAAAGCTCCTTTCACTCGCCCCTTAGAAACCATCATCTTGTCAAGCCCAACAAAGCAAGTTAGTATGTGACTTACTGTGGGAAGAAGGGCATGGCATTCCATTATAGGAAGACCTGCTCAAGGTCCTGTCAAAGTCAGAAATGACCTAAAATGCAAAAGAGAGATGATGCCTAGAATAGGCTCCTTCTGGGGTGGCCGTGTCAGCCTGGGAGGATGATTATGAAAGTCAAAAGTGCTCAGTGTCCAGAACGTGGGCAAAGCCCTGCAGGAGTTAGGGAGGGCTACAGAGGGAAGGCAGAACTAATCTTGGTCAGTCCAGAGCTAACCCTGAGGACCACCGTAGGGAGGCGGGGAGGGGGGTGGTAATTAAAGGAAGCAGCGTGACCTTCCTGAGAAATTAGAAATCTAGGTTTTTAGGGCAGGCGGGCTCTCCCCCAAGGCAATACAGGCGAACCAACTTGCTGGCCCTTGGGCCCCCAGCCGTTTCTAGGGGCCGAGGGCTTGCAGGTGTCGCAACAACGCGGGAAGACCCACGGGCAGGACGCCTCCACCGCCGCCCCNNNGGACGCCTCCACCGCCGCCCCCGACCCGCCGGCCCGCCCTCGCCCCGCGGTACCTGTAAGCGGTCTCGCCCGCCCCTGCGGAGGGCGCCCACGATCTCCTGCACCCGCCCGGGCTGCCGCATCAGGACCGTGGCCTTCATCTGGGTGCTCACCTG